CACACACACGCGCGCGCGCGCGCGCGCGCGCGCACACACAATTATATATTATATTTATAATTAATTATAATTGGCTACGTTATGTACGACAGCGCGCATTGGTGTCTTGTAGACGTGAAGGCGACAGCCGACGTACTGCAGAAGATAGACCTGACCATGCTCAGCAACGACGACTGCCGCGACTACTACTCCCGCAATTCCATCAAGAGCTCAATGCTGTGCGCGGGCCGCCTCACCGATGACGTCTACTCCGGACCCTGCTACGTACGTGTGACCTGTGACGTCATGTATACGTCATGATGACGAATTTTTCTAACGTTTTGTCAGCGGTCGTTAGTGTAGCGATTTAAGTGAGCAGTTAGCAGTAGTCGTCACTGTGAAGGTTCAGTGATTGTAATAAGTGTTAAGTGTGTGTATGTAAGACTTTGGTGAGCGTGTGCGTATGCGCGTCGGCTGGCGTTCTGTCCGACCCACGATCGATATTTTCTCGATCAGATGACGGATCTTGCACGACGTTAGTCCAAAATGGCAAAGCAGAAACGCACTCACGAATAAAGCGAATAACAGACATGGAGTGTCAACAGGAGACAATACCCGCTATTTTAATAATTTGCGAGCAAACACCGCTCTAACACGTTCCCTGACCTTTCACCTCCCTACAGGGCGACTCTGGCGGGCCGATGGTGACGTCACTGAGCGGACTTCCCGTGCAGGTTGGTATCGTGTCGTGGGGAGAGGGCTGCCTAAGACCCTACCCTTCGGTGTTCACCCGCGTCTCCTCGTTCAGAGAATGGATATCGGCCGCCATAGTCGACGCGCTCGTCGCAGGATAGTTGTCCGCCATCTTTGAGTCACTGGTGGAGTGGTGGACATCAGCCATTGTTGAGTGACGCACTGTATGAGGGGTTGACAACTGCGCAAGACATTTATGACATCGCCTGTTCTTGGAACTATAACTATATATATATATATATATATATATAGAGAGAGAGAGAGAGAGAGAGAGAGAGAGAGAGAGAGAGAGAAAGAGAAATAGAGATAGACTTTTGTATTCAATTGTTATTTGAATTGAAAGTAAATATATATACACAGAGTCTAATTATGAGAAAATATATAAGGTTTCTATGGTTTAATTCTATAGCGTTATTGTTTTGGTGTTCCTGCATTGTGTGTCAAAACAGTGAATCGTATATCTCAATTAATGTCGGGTGAGTCGGTTACGTCTTACAAACACATGTTGCCAATCTTTGTTCAGTAGTTTGCGCTGCACCGAGCTGTGTTGTGATAGCATGCCAACAATAGATGGAAATTCGTGCACATTATTTGTTCATTCTTGCAGTTTTATTCTCAATAAATAACGTTATCGACAATGCATAACAATCGCTCATAGAAAGCAAGAACTGGCGTTAACGGCTAGTAGTGACACCTGGTGGTTGGCACGCACATCAGGAAGACGCTGGCCAGATGTTGATGATGAATCACAGGCGAGCAGTGTATGCTGGCGGCGAGTCGTGCCGCCAAAACTTCTACGTAACTTAGATTATATTAATTTTCGTGGCAATGGCATCTTATACTAGCTGCCGATACTATACATATTATGATACTACATAGTATATATGGATGTGAGTCACTACTAACGGCTATCATTATCACGCTATGTACATACGCCATCGCCGCTGTACAATCCTAATAAAGCCATAAAATATAGGATACACTGACACACGCTTCGTGGCGATGCATGTTTATAGATATACCTATTAGACGTATAACCCCGTTTAACCGCGCGCACACACACGCACGCACGCACGCACGCACGCACGCACGCACATACACATACGCGCGGACGACTCCACGAAACAGTCGCTAAAAGCAATCAACCTTTCCTGACATTGCTCGATAGACTCATACCACGGCGTAAAGGCAAACGATGGTCATACATACATCCACATACATAACACATGAGTATAGAGACTCCTATGTGATCCTAAAAGCACTAAAGCCAGCTGCCTTGCCACATTGAGCAGAAAATTAGATCAACCCCTTTGTCAGTCAACAATATTTTACACGTCGTTCATAAGCGAACGAAATGCATAACAACATGAGCTCATAATCCTACAGTATTATTTATATATACATATATATATATATATAATATTTATATTTATAAATATATATATATTACATATATTTAGTACACTATAATATTAGTTTATGTACTAAGTACATGCACTATAGTAGTACGGGCTCCTGATAACAACGATTCAAGGCCTTACACTGTGTAGGAAGACGAATGCTCCTATATGCATAACATATTAAAAAGCTACCTCCCGTAACTACGGTAGCATAAACTATGCATAATAGTGTCACGCTAAACATTTTATTTTATTTACGCCCCTAAACATGGTAAACACGGATGACAACGTAAAATGCTCGCATTCATCTCGTAAGCTATTATAAACACACGCACAGGCCCTACTTACGCGCATATACACACACGCAAAAACGCTCGCGCATGGACACTAACACACCGTACTGCACGCACACGCTCGATCGCACAAACACGCGCGGACACACCCGCACACACACATACACGCACGCGCGCACACGCAAACAACCAACCAACCAAACAACCAAACAAACAAACGTGCACAGTAACACATACGCGGCGCACGTGACCATTCCAGTACACACACATGTAATGCCACGCCACACGTCAGACACTATCAGACAAAGAACAAGCAAGCTAGGATACGGTACAAAGCAGCGCAGTTAACGAGACAACATAAGACTGGACAACACAACCCGCACGCACCAATCAAGAGAACATCTGGAGTGAACAACATGAGGGGGAGGGCTCTTTTAAAAGAACGTCACTGCAGCGGTAAACAAACTAACACATCATGTTCACAGTTTGGTCAAGGGCAAGGTCAAGTTATCGCACGAATGAATAAATGTAATGCTACTGCTACTTTATCAAAAATGGACCCGTCTTTGCTGCGTGCGTGAGCACTAAGAAAAGCCATAAAGTGTTAAACAACCACGTGCTGCCATCGTGTGGCACAATTCTACATAAATTAAACTCCACACAGTTCGTTTTAAAACGAGAAAGGAATGAGTAAAGCTTGCTTTCTCCTATGTTAACTTGTTAGTTGTAACGCACGCACCTTGGTTGTGTTGGTAAAAAGTACAGCGTGTTGAGCTTTTAAGTAAGAGTACGTAAAATCGCCCAATGGTGGAATAAATCGTTATAACAAGATATTGCTGATAAATACGTGTACATTTGGCCCACAGACAATATCTCGTACCATTTCCTGCTTCCTCAACACCACAGCCGGCTAACGTTTTTTCATCCCTCCTCTGTAAAAACTAGCATTTCATTAAGAAACGAGAATAAGTAACCAGTGTAAGTGTAGTAAGGTCTAGTGTAACTAGGTGGGTCACACAGGAAATGAAGAGGTATTGCAATAACAACCGCTCAAGCACCGGACACCGGACACGGAGCTTGCATCTACTCTCGTGGGGCTGCGCACGTTGCTCTGTGCCCTCTAGCACCTCCGCCACCACCCTATGCCCCCCTCCTACACACCTAACCACGACACAGAGACTCACACGGCAACTCATCCTGCACTTCTACTGCATTGGATGAGGAGAATCGGATCGTTGCGTTAGTGAGTCGAAACATCACACGGTGACGATAACCGATTCAGCCGTGCACATCGTCTGCCGGCTGGCCCGTTAGGCACACTGCTTGTTTGGTCGAGAGCCGCTGACTGATCATCGGTAGCTCGTAATACAGTCGCGCGTTCATTGGAGGTCACAGTAGGTCGGTCGGCAGTCGCCAGTAGGGTAGACGGACACCGGCGATTGGCGGTTGATGGTGTCGCCCGGTGCGCCTGTGGTTAGTCGAGACTCATGCTAATCCGTTACAGCGTGTACTGGAGAAAGTCGTCCTCTGGGTAGCCGTCTAAATTTGTTATGGCCTTCTTAACTTTGTTACCTAGAAGCATGACGTCGACATGTAAGCAGAGGCAGCTTTTTGTTTGCTCGTAAAAACATCTTCAATGCGTAAATGAGTTGGTCGAACAATATCTATCAACACCAACCTTAGGTGCCAGACATTTACTCATCACTAAAGTCTGCGGATCATACGGCCGTACCATAAACATCATACCAGCAAGTAGGGAGGGCAACAATGGCACTTGTGATTCGTGCCGTGGTGACAGCCGACACACTGCATGCAAGGGCGAGTACCCCTCTGCTTCCCTTTCCTCCACCCTTCTCTACGTCCTCTCCCCTCCCCATTTCTGCCCTCTCCTCCCCATCCCTACCCAATCCGTCTTTCTTCCCTTCTCCCGTCCTGTCCCCTCCCACTCCCTCCCGTCCCTTCCAACACTGGGCATGCGCTAGCACGCCAAGGCAAATAAGATGGGTAAGCACCCGTGCTGCGCTGGTGCTACAGCGAAATTTGCACGCTGATTTCCTGGAGAGCTTACCGAGTCCTTTCACTTTCTTGCCCAGCCCGCGGACGTTGCTTTTGATCGACGAGCCTCGCTTCGAGTACATCTCCAGCTCATGTTCTGCCAGCCGCACCTCAAACAGTCCTGCGACGTGACCTGCATGTAGATGCACACGGTGATTAGCGCCCTCTGTTGGGAATGACAATACAGCGGATGACAACCCTTGTTGGGGATGACAACCCTTGTTGGGGATGACAACCCTTGTTGGGGATGACAACCCTTGTTGGGGATGACAATCCAGCGGTTGACAACCCCTGGGTGTACAATCCAGGATGCAACATTGAGAAATACTTACGCTAGACCAGCAGTCCAGCAGATCAAGAGATCTACGACCACAAAAATGAAAGTGTCAATGACACTGTAGCTCACCTTGGGTGTGGTAGAAGAGGGAGGGGGGGATATATAAAGCAAGAGTATATATGGGAGAACTCCAATTATATAGCATATCTCCCATTATATACTCTTGATAATGATATATGCATAAGTTTTGATGTGAAAATAAATGTTTCAGATCTGAAAGTCTGAAATCTTAACGAGAGATGGCTCTATGCCTAAATGATCGCCATTTTCGTTTTTGAAAATCGCTCAAATAAAAACAATTAAATATTCCAGTCAAATTACTGTAACGAAGAATCTAAAACTGTAATAGGACATTGTCATCTCTCCCATAGGAGTAACAACTGTTTTGGGGCTAGCCTTACACATTCACATACCAAAATTTAATAAAATTTAATAAATTTAGATGGCCATTTTCATTTTTGCCAAAAAGTAGGCATGGCTCGAAAGTAGGTCGACTGGCATGCTACAAAATAGGAAGTTCAAATCTCTCCCATAGAAGTAACAACTGTATTCAATTTGAAACATGTGGGTCAAACGGTTCTTGAGTTATCGTTGACCGTAGGCACACACTGAAATGCATAGTGAAATTGCCAAAATCTACCTAATTTGCATAATAAAAAAAAAAATCTAAACCTGTGTGATATGTCTTGGGGTTAGTGTCCTCATTCATTCACATACCAGAAATGAGCAAAATCCATTGAACCTGAACTGACTTATGGCCATTTCCATTTTTGCCAAAAAGTGGACGTGACTCGAATGTAGGTCGACTGGCGTGCTCCAAAATAGGACGTTCAAACCTCTCCCATAGGAGTAACAACTATATATGCAATTTGAAACATGTGGGTTAAACGGTTCTTGAATTATCGTTGACCGTAGCCAAATGTTGACGGACGGACGGACGGACGGACGTACGACGGACGACACCCCATGGCAATAGCTCATCTTGACGATGTCAAGGCGAGCTAAAAATTGTCAGACCAATTGCATCATCATTTATATATAGATTTATTTCACCTGGTTATTATAGGTTATTATACCCAGATATAATAGGTGAGAGGACGGCAAGAAGAAAGGATAGCGGCAGGTGGAGGACAGCAAGGGCTGCTGGTGAGGCTGGTGGGCGCATGGCAGAGGGAAAAGGAGCAGCGGGGGGTGTTACAGCAGACGACTCACCGGCCTGTCTCTCGGCTATCTGCATGCGCTCGCGCGCAAACACTTCGAACATCTGCGTCTCGCAGAACCACTGCAGAAAGATGCGGATGCTGCGAGAGTTGACGCCCCCGACGAAGCTCTCCTTCTACGCAGAAGCAAACGCACAACGATCATCACACGACGAGACAAACAAGATTAGACTCAGAATTCTATGCAGACATTTACAGCTGCAGCAGCAATAGTCATCACTTACAAAGATAATCAGTCGATCCTGTTTTCAATTCAATTCGATTCCTTTTCAATTTTGTTTCTTTTCAATTGTCTAATTTTCACAGCAGTTCGAGTTTGGATAGTCACGTTAGTGACAAACGTTTATGGCGATTGCGGAAATACTCAGATGCGTCATTTTCTCATCTCTAACCGTAGCCACGAATGAAAGATCGAAGCTTGTTCAGCAGAAGAATTTCTGCTATAATGTGCCCAGTATTATGCATCAACAGACTAACCTCCAAGAAGCGGTGGCCGTCGTTTTTGATTCGAATGTGATGGTGGTAGTGGCCGACAACTTCCACAAACAGACGCATGAATGCTTCGGATATCATCACGTTCTTAGTGTTATGCCCTGCAGCGACAAGACAATTCTTCAGAACTACAGATTCAAAACCTATGTGTCACGCACATGCCGCCTATAAGACACACGCAAGGCCTGTGTGTCTGTGGGTTTGTGCATGTATGGATACGTACGTGTGGATGCAAGAAAACAGGAGTAATTGCGTACATGCATGAGGCGAGTGTGAATGTTTGTGTGTGTGCGTGCACCCGTGTGTGCATGTGCGTGTCTGTGTGCGCGTGCATGCATCCATGCATACATGTAGGCGCAGGTGAATGGACATATTGCGTGTGTGCATGAGGTGAGTGTGAGTGTTTGCGTGTGTGCATGCATCCACGCATACATGTACGGTGCTTGTGTGCTTACTCATGTCTTCCTGGCACATGTTGAGTGCTGTGCTGAGAGCCTTGAACAGCTTGCGTGGGATGATGCTGCCTTCGTCCCCCTGCTGCCAACTCAGCTCTCCCGTGTCCAGGTTCACCAACAGCACCTACACAATAACACAATCATCAGTAATACCACTGCTACAATAATTATTACCATTGCAATTAAATTAAAATAATTACATTGTATAATATTTACAGGAGGTGTAACGATACGTTAGGGTCACAAATCGTATTGCAATATGCAGACAGAAAAAGAGATATTGTAAATTGTATGCTATAATAAATTTGTCATACTTGAGATTTGTACGACGACGGAGCGTCTGCTAGTTCAAGTATGGTTGCCATGTTATAATCCAACCCTACCTCGCACAGACGATATCTAACAGATTTCCCCTCATGCAGAACAGCAAGCACAGAAGCAATGTTCTCTCTCACACAGAGCAGGTCACACCTACCTCACGCAGACGACTTCTAACAGATTTCCCCTTACGCGGAACAGCAAGCTCAGACACCGAAGCAATCGTCTCTATCACACAGAGCCGGTCACACCTACCTCGCACAGACAATATCTAACAGATTTCCCCTTACGCAGAACAGCAAACTCAGACACCGAAGCAACGTTCCCTATCACACAGAGCTGATCACACCTACCTCAGACAGTGGCAGACTGCTGAGCAGCGGCAGGTTCTCCGACAGAATACCGATGACGTAGGGCGTCGGCGAGCAGACGAAGTCGAGCAGCTTAGACGGAAGCACCGGCACGAACGTGTGCTGCCAGGTGAACGGGTAGAGCAGCGCTGCGATCGCGTCCACACACGCAGACAGCGTGCTGAAATATACGAACACAACACGTTGACACAAAATCCGACAGCGGGCTGAAATATACGAACACAACACGTTGACACAAAATCCGACAGCGGGCTGAAATATACGAACACAACACGTTGACACAAAAGCCGACAGCGGGCTGAAATATACGAACACAACACGTTGACACAAAAGTCGACAGCGTGCTGAAATATATGAACACAACACGTTGACACAAAAGTCGACAGCGTGCTGAAATATATGAACACAACACGTTGACACAAAAGCCGACAGCGTGCTGAAATATACGAACACAACACGTTGACACAAAAGCCGACAGCGTGCTGAAATATACGAACACAACACGTTGACACAAAATCCGAAAGCATGCTGAAATACACAAACACAACACGTTGACACAAAAGCAGACAACGTGCTGAAATATACGAACACAACACGTTGACACACAAGCCGACAGCGGGCTGAAATATACGAACACAACACGTTGACACAAAAGCCGACAGCGTGCTGAAATATACGAACACAACGCGTTGACACAAAAGCCGACAGCGTGCTGAAATACAAGCAGATGGCAAGCTGAACCACCCGAACATTGCACGTTGACATACAACCAGACGACATTTTGAAATACAAGTAGATAGCAAGGTAAAACACAGACAGACAATGTTGTGAACTATAAGCCGACTGTCAGCAAGCTAAACACACGCAGTGAGCTTAAACACATGCAGACAGTATGGTGTAACAAATTCAGACAGCGCGCCAAAATGTAAACAAACGTCAAGGTATAACACACAGACTGCATGGTTAAAGGCACACAGGCATGAGTCTACACACATATGCTCCTGCTTCTGCTAATAAAAGAAAGAGAAAATGAAGATGAGACGACGGAAATGTTTGGTCGGATGCCAACACACCAGAGAAAGAAAGAGAAGAAAAAGAAGAGAAACAATGACAGCGAGACGGAAACATTCGTTTGGATGCCGAGACGCCGGACGAAGTTGAGACGCAGCGCTCACCTGAGACGCGACGCGACGAACAGCACGCGCCGCTCCATGAGTATCGCCGAGAATGCCCGCAGGAGGGCGCCGGTGTCGAGGCGGCGCAGTAGGCGTCCGTAGTCAACGTGCTCCAGCCGCGTGTCCGTCGGCCGCGCGAACGTCTCGACGTGCGACGGCGGCGCTCCCCCGCCACCGCCGCAGCGCACCGTGACGCTCTCGCCCGGCCCCGGGTAGCTGCGCCGGTACGCCGCGCGCAGAAACGCGGCCGCCGCCGCCTCGGAGAGCGCGTGCTGCCGCTGCGCCGCCTCGAGGATGGCCGAGTAGAGCGAGAACGCCGACACGCGGCTGAGGATGCAGTAGACGACGGGCGCGGGGTCACCGTGCGCGCGCGCCGCGAAGCGACGGCAGCAGCCGAAGCGGCGACCGCCGACGTCCGACGTCAGCACGAACGAGAAGGTTTCCGCGTCGTCGTCGTCATCGTCGCCGTCGTCGGGGGCGACGCGTCGCGCGCGCGCGTCCGGGAAGCAGAAGAGCGGGATCTGGTCGACGTTGGCGGCGTCGCGCGGGAAGCAGTAGCGCATGCGCGGCTCGTAGGTGGCGCCACCGGCGTCGGCGTCGACGCTCACGCAGATTACGGCTTCGAAGAGGTGCTCGTAGTGGTGCGGCGGCGCGGGCCGCTCCCGGCACTTGTCGCGTACGGAGCGGACGTAGCGGATTCGCTCGCGCAGCACGCGCGCCGACGTCTCCGCATCGCTGCTCTCACCTGCAACAGACGAGATTAACAGCTGCGACCAGTAAAAAAAATACACGGGGGCTCGCGGCGATTTAGCCCCCCGAAATGCCAAAAAGAGCCCCGGAAATGCCAAAAAGAGCCCCCGTAAATTTGCATAGAGTTCAATGCAAACTACAAATTTTAGAGTGCTATTTTCATGCACGCGAGCTTGAAAAGTAGCCCCCGAAAAATAAATGTTCAAGCTCGCGTAATTTTTTTCCCTGGCTGCGACTAACGCTAATGACGCTGTAGAAACGAGTACGATTCTTACAAGACGACGAAATTTTGTGCCGTATTAACTTTTTCTGTGCTGAGTACCTTGTTGGCATGTTCATTCCTTGTACACTGAATACCTCTTTGCAATGGAGTAAGTTTCGTGTGTGAATTTCAAAACTTCATATCAAATAAACTACTCAATATATCAGCCATCTTCTTTCCATATCTGCATAATTTGTTTAGCTCAGGGGCACTAAAATATAATCTTGATTTAAAGCGGAACAATAGCTTCTGTTGTGGAATTTTGCTATCTGCTTCTAGTTACTACGATCACGTGAACATCAACGACACATTTTACACACAACTATCTGAGATGACCCACGGCCGGTGCACTATCAAGAGTGCTAGCACGTGCGCACACCAAAAGCAGCAACTTCAAACTGTCACAGCAACTTCAAACTGCCCGCAGCGTGAGCGACTGGAGCTTTCCTACCTGTAGAGTCGTCCTGCATCGGTGTGTCCTCAGCAAGATCCGCTAAATCCTCATGCGAGAACGCTTGCCGTAACTTCTGCCGCACCATAGGTGGCGCCGGCGGCGGCCGAGGCGGGTGCTTGTTCGGTCTGCAACAAAACGCCGAGTTCCTTACCAGAACGTTGCGTGACCACGCATAGCCATGCTGTCACGTCAAACAAGAATCGCACCAAGCGTCTGGAGTAAGAACATCAGAAGTAAGACGATATGATGAGATGACATCAGATATATAATCTCAATAACATCTTAAATATAATAATATCAACGTAGTTTCAATAACATCTCGATATGACGAGACAGACAAAAAATGTCTGACCGGTTACCTAGCTGATTTCGTCCTGCGCCACTGGTGGCCACCAGGAGCGCTGGTGGGCGTCTCCCGCTCGGCCGGCAGGCAGTATCCGAGCAGGTCGTGCTCGGGTGTCTCGCTCCGCGGCAGCCCACCACCAGGTGGCGCCAGGTCATCGTAGATTACCTCACAGCTCGAGGATCGCCGCATCGGCCGTTCGCCGCTCGTCTCCGTGTTGTACCGGTAGGGGGCGCCACTGTCGTCGTTGCAAAGCCGGGTGTCCGAATCGGGGCCGCCAGCGGGCGACGTCCGCGGCAGCGTGAGCGACGCATACGCGGGCACGGTGCCGGTCTCCATCAGATGGCTGACCGCGGCGCCCCCTGGCACCGGTTCCGCGTAGTCAGCGTCAGGTTCGGCCTCGCTGCATTGCTGCATCTTGTGTCGCCTCTCGTACCCCGCCCCGCCCCCGTTATACCTCCTCGGTCTCAAGCGCGGCGGAGGAGGACGCTGCGGCGGCGTCTTCGCTTTCGCCGTCGGCGTCGTCACGGCGACTGGAGTCTCTCGAACGACAGGCGGCGGCACCGCCGTGACGCCCGGTGCCTTCTGGAGGGTTGATAGCGGCACGGTCGTGTCCTCGTACGTGACGAAGACAGGTTTGCTCGAGACGATCGGCTTGCGACCCTCGCCCTTCGCCGGTTTAACGCGCGGCGACCGCGCCAGCTTGTTCGACCTCCGTTCGACTGACCGCATGATGACCGGCTTAGGGGGCAGCACTGGAGGCCTCGTCAGTGTGGCTGGCCTCGTGCCGCCATCCGCATCCCGTGCGGGCTGCCGTGCCGCCCCGTTGCCCGCATCCCGCGTGGGCCGCCTCACCGCCCCACCATCCGTGTCCCGCGCTGGCGGCCGTGCCACCCCATTGCCCGCATCCCGCGTGGGCCGCCTCACCGCCCCACCATCCGCGTCTTGCGCGGGCTGCCGTGCTGCCCCTCCGTCCGCGTCCCGCGCTGGCTGCCGTGCCGCCCCGTTGCCCGCATCCCGCGTGGGCCGCAGCACCGCCCCAGTGCCACCATCCGTGTCCGGTGTGGGCCGCCGTGCCACTCCATTGTTCGCGTCCCGCGGGGGCCGCCGTGTCGCCCTCGTCCCGCCATCCGCATCCTGCGTGGGCCGCCTCGTCACGCCCGTCCGGACGTCAGCGGGACGAGTCGTCATGCTTGGTCCAGTGGAGACGCGCCGCGGCTTCAGAGGATTCGTCCTCGCGTCACGCGGCTCAGTGGTGACAGGCTGCGGCTTGGGACTCATCCCCTCGGTGTCACTCGGCCGCGCCGCCGCGCCGCACCCTCCGTTCTTCATCGCGTCGACATCGTGCGCAAACGTTCGCGGCGGCTTCCTAGGTGGCGCCGCCCGCGCCGTGCGGGGAGGCGCGGGGCGCGGCGGCCTGCGTCGAACGCCCGCACGGCTATCCCAACCCGCCTCGCGATCGGCCGACGCCACTGGCACCCCCTGTCCGTTCGCGGCGGAGTTCGCCCGCGAGGCGGCGCTCTCCCGGCCGTTCGGCGCCGGCCGTTCCATCGCCGGCTCTCCGCCTTCGAATAACTTGCGTCGCTCCTGGATGCTTCCGGATCGCGGCCGGCCCTCGACGCCAGCATCCGGGGACGGTCGCGCGTCCTTCCCCTCCCGCGGGGACTGGCTGCCCACGCTGCAATCATCCGGGGACGGTGACTCGCACCTGCCATCTTCCGGGGGTCGCGCAATCATGCTGTCGTCCCCCAGGGACTGCGTCATCCTCCTGCTATCTTCCGAGGTCCGTCTCTCCGCGCTGTCGTCGTCCAGCGACTTTGTCATTCTCCTGTCGTAATCAGGGGGTGATTCCGCCGCGTTCCCGCTCTCCGCGGAACGTCTCATCTCGGTGGACTCCTTGGAGGACCGTCGTAGCAACACGGCACGCACGTCGGGCGAGGAAGATGCATCGGTCGTCGTGCCTGCCTTGACGCACGACCTTGTGGGCGACCTTGAATATTTTTGAGGGCGAGGCGTGGGTACTGGCCGGCCGTCGACATTACCAGTTGCAGCGGGATCAGAATTATATCTCTTTATCTGTGAATCGAAAACGAACATCTTGTTCCTGGAATGATGTGATCAGAATTCATTTTATCGTGGGACATGTTTCATTTCGAGATAAATCGAAAGTATTTAATCAAGCTACAGAGTCCTGTCGAAGACTAAGTCTGTAATAATTTTGGATTCCTCTGGAAATTAAATTATTTAATTAAAAACGATTTGTCTACAACATCCAGTAATACGTAAATTTCGTTTACAAGCTTTTAGAACAGATTACTAAACATATCGACAACGAAGGGAACAGAAAACTCCTTTTAAAACAGTATTCTAATTTTTCATGCAAATGAAACAATGGGAGGATGTTACAGGTTACGTGTGACATAAAATATGAGCTTGGTCATGATGGAAATATCACATAGACATATCAGCTTACCCGGGTTGCTACAGACATGCTCTGATATAAAACTTGCGAGTCACGTGTTGATCAGTACTCCGTACTGAATCAGGTACATAAAGAGTTAGTTCATCTAGTCCACATCGCTAATCCAGGCTACATCTGGGATGTACCGTACAGGAGTCTGGGAAGAATCTACACCCAACCAGTGATAACAAGGTCAAGGAACAAATCACACTGGCAAGCATCAATCACCGAATTAGTTCATAATAAGATTCTAACCACTATGAAAGTGTACATACACTGTGGTCATGTACAATCACTGAGGTGTATAATATAGCCAGGTTGTAAGGTAACAGCATACTTAAGGCTTAGACCTCAGAAATTTATGAGATTTCTCTGGGAATCCAAGTTCAGTGGTCAAAAATTCGTGTGAAGGTGTGAAACGACGTGAGTGTTGTACCCATTTGATCATGCGCAGTACCGAGACGACCAAACTGCCTGTGCAGCGTGCTGTGGCCCTGATTAATGTAGTAGATGTCTAGTAGATAATCTTTATTTTCATCGGTACATTTAAAACAGTGAACATGAGCTGGAAAGCTCTTTAACCGATATCTAACAAATGTATAAAAACAGTTATAACAACATATCATTTCATTAAAAATATACAAGTTTAAGATACAGGTATGGGTATGATAAAAATTAAAAATATAAAGTAACGACATGGTACTGTTTGGGCTGTGGGCAATGTATATGATCAATGAAAATGCAATTGCAATTACATTTCATGTCGCTGTTGAATATAATTGCACATCACCTGAACCTACACATTGCACACATGCATTTCTTGCCCATCCATGTATTTATCATTTTGTTAAAAGAAATTAAATCGGTAGCGTCTCTCAAACAGAGTGGAAGCTGGTTCCAGAGACTAGCACCATGGTAACGTAGACTTTTTTTCCCGTATGCTACTGTGCGGCAGTTCTGGAGTTTTAAACTGCCGCCACGCAAGTCGTGACCAGTTTCCCTGTTTGAGAATAAATCAAACAGGTATGAAGGGCTTTGTTTATTTAAAATTTTATAGATCACTTCAGCAATTTGTCGCTGCCTCATGAGGTTCAATGAGACAGACTGGTCTTTGGAGAGAAGTGCCTCGTAGCTGCTTTCATAGTCGTGATACACATGTTGTAGTGCACGATAATTTAGTTTCTCTAACTTTTTGTTGTTGGCTTCATTAATTCAGTCACAGTGTTACTGTTACCTCATAACCTTGTTATACTAATTACCATTATGATTTGTCTTTAAAGTACAATCATACTTTGATGTACTTATATGATAGTTATGATCATTATATGATACTTATATGATACTATGATATACTCATACTGACTATATCACTCAGTATGAGTATAATCGAAGACGGTGAGAGACAAGTCTAAGGTGATCAAATCGAAAGATTAACAGCAGCAAGCTGCAGCCTGCAACAAATGCAACAAGCTGCAGTAGAAAAGGCTGCAATTTTACAAAGATGAAGGAAGAGAACTATAATATCGAAAGCCATCAATGTACGAGGTTAATGAATGATCAATGATCAGACCACCGTCACGCTCTGCCGATTTGTTTACAGTTTACCGTACTCACTGAAATTGAAATTGACATTGTTACCTACACTGTGACTGTACACAATGACAATGTTACCCTATTTATTAGAACAAATCACATCAAATCGAACACTGCTTCCCAATTTAGAAATGTATCAATTTTTTCATCTTATATACGCAAATTAAATCATATTGAAATAAGAGTTCATACTTCCAAAACAATACACAGTATCACTACCTGTGCCTAGGGGCTAGGCTAATAATATTAGTATTTATAAGTTAGAAACGCCATCTTACATGACCCGAGCTGACCTGAGTGACGATGCGATGTCATAAGAAATGCTGTCCTGTCTCGCGTAGAAAAATATTACAAGAAACGCATTTTTAGCCCAAATACCTTAATATTCATTGCAAACAAATTTAATAATTTGTGTTTATAATAAGTGACACAGTTTGTTTTTTATTATTTCCAACATATTGCTTGACGTCGAAACACAGCGAGCAAATATCCAAGGGGATTTGGGTGTCGGTGAAATATTTTTGTTACACAGTGACACTATCGTACGCATGCGCTGTAGCTTTCCTTTACGTCGAATCGTTTCAATATGGGTGTAAGTTTTCCGTACATGTTCACAGAAATCTGAAGTAATCAGACATAATAAGCAGCTCAACATAAGTTATAGGGGTTATTATTAAATGTGACAAACCAAGTAGTAATCGTGATGAAATACTATCCGTAATAAATGTTTCTGAAGGAAGTAACAGGGATGTAAACTTAACGCTGCAGCGGTAATCGACACGGAATTATATTGGCGACATCGTGTGTTGTTGTCTATATATTTCGACGTTAACTCGTCTCTCCAATCTCGCCTTGCTTAGTTCTTACCAGCATTGAAGCTAATATTTGAAATGTGGATTTACGGCTGTTTCGTTGACTAAGCGTCTGACTAGCGCACATGCACTTTGGCCGTTTCACTTTCCATGGTATAAAATGATTGTAAATAAACAGTTCAAACACACTATTTACTACCACTGGCAGCAAGAACAAGCCCGCACGTACAGCACACACGCGCCGATTGACTATAATAACCAGTGGTGGATCTACGGGGGGGTTTAAACCCCCCCTTCCCCTCTTGGGTTGCCCCGTACCCCCCTAGCAAGGCGTACCTTCGGCACGCTGGGGTGTGTAGGCCAATCACCTTAGGTAAACCCCCCCCCTTAGTTAAAACCTAGATCTGCCCCTGATAACAACAAGTTGTTATTATAGTCAATGGGTGCGTGTGTGCTGTACGTGCGGTCTTGTTCTTGCTGCCAGTGTTTACTACTACTAGTACTAGTACTACTAATGCTAGTAATAGTAATACTACTACTAATACTAGCAAGGTCTTAATGTTGGCCTACTCTATCTCGTGATATTTCCACGTACATCCCCTTCACATGTTAGTTGGTTTAATTTCTTGTTTGTGTTGTGTGATTGTGTGCAATCACTGAATCGGGCAAGTGTCTGAATTTGGCACTCATGCTTTCCCACCTGTTCTATATTTCTGTATACAATTTTGTAAATATTAAATACTAGTAGGGCGTACTGACTTATGTTTTAATAGTGTCACATTTTGCTCTTTTTTTTAGTCAACGAGCAAAAGAAAGACCAGAAAGTTGAGAGGTCACGTAAGCCATGGCCATGGACGTGTTGGTAAGATGCTTGCACTCAATGTACAATGATCATTGTTTAATGAAAACTCGCAGAGAGGCTAAACTAGAACTTTTTCTTGCCAGTTGGAGCCGTGGGAATATCATGGTTTAGGCATGTAATACCTGTCAGCAGAGATGCCAACCACTACGATTTATCCGTATTTTATACGAATTTCATTTGCATTTTGACCACTACGACCAGTTTGCATACAACTGATTTTTATTACGATCCAAAAAAAATCATTTTTATGATATTTCAAGTGTTTTGTTTCAGTGTTACATTGATATAACATTATTAAAAATAACTACATGTATTTAGCAGCAAATATCAGTGTGAACTTATTATCATTTTGGGTCCCAGAATGCAGCAAATTGCATCTCGGAATCAAAAATTTTCCGGGGGTCATTCACCGAACCCCCCTAACATACTTGGGTCACTGCATGACCCTCGGCCTACAGATTTCAGATATCCTCACTACAGTTTGCTCAGAAAAGTGTTGGCATCTCTGTGTCAGGGTAAAAAATACACGGGAGTGATGAGCGATTTACTTTTCAAACCTCCGAAATGGCCCCCGTAAAAATTTTGGCGAGAGTTATTTTTCCCACATACTTGAAAAAGAGCTCCTGTGGAAAAAAAGTTATTTTTCCCCTGATACCTGTCATGTCCACGACAGCTTGCGAGAATTTTTCTCACCTGTGAAAGTTTGCTTAGACCATCAGTTCTGTTTGTGTCAGTACACTGTACATTTAGACAGGACTTTGTGTACCTACCATAAAGCCATTACACAGAATGATGGCACTGTGTATACTAAATTTTAAAACGTGCCAAACAATCTCCCTGACCCTATTATTCAGTGTAGCAGGTGTGTCAAAAGATATAACTGTAGCTGTTTGGGCTGATTACGTGACATATTTGCTTGTTTTGTTTTCCAGGCAAACACAGGAAGCATCCCGGAGGTCGTGGTAATGCCGGAGGTCAGCATCACCACCGAATCAACTTTGACAAATAGTACGTTGCTACACATCGCATATTTATTTTCTCGCGGTTTCGTGCTCAACTGTTCAGTGGCATGCGTTGCTGCAGTATTTTCTTTTGACTCTAGTAGCTCATTGCAAGTATAGAGTTTCACCGCGACACCCATGGAAATTGTTGTGTTTGCACTCGCTACGTGTCACAAAAATTAGGCTGTGTACTATAATTGAATTGACATTTATGGTCGACTAAGGTTTTACGTTACTCCTCAAAACACTGTCGAATGATTTTTAATTCCTGTAGAGCTGTGAGGTTTTGATAGCTTCTGGAAAGGAAATGATGTTCATCTCGTTTTGCTTCTATCCTCCTCATCTAGCCATCCGGGTTACTTCGGCAAAGTTGGCATGCGACATTACCACCTAGCGCGTAACCAATACTGGTGCCCGTCGGTGAATGTCGACAAGATATGGTCGCTGGTCAGCGAGCAGACGCGGGAAGTCTACGGCAAGAAGCCAGAGGGACCTGCACCGGTCATCGACGTCGTTAGAGCAGTAAGTGTCTCGATCCTGCGACCGCCACGCTTTAGTGTGTAGCTAGTTATATCTGTTAAAGCTGCACTATGCGCATCTACATGCTAATTTCTTTAGTACTAGACTAGCAAATACTCTGTGTCATGCATAATCATACTACCTTATGACAAAATAAACTCTAGTTTCTCCCATTTCAATGCGCATTTGCTTAAAACCCACAAGAAAGAGGTGCGAAATCTGGAAATCTGGCTAGTCTAGTAGTACTGGAGAAATTAGCGTGGAGATGCGCATAGTGCGGCTTTAACAGATCGAACAACACGGAATACACCAGATTTGCGCGTGTCTAAAATATAGTGGCGAAACTGAAGTAGCCCTGTCGTCATACCAATCTGGAGTGTGGAAGTATTACGTACGTCCTCATGTGTCCTACTTAATTGACTGTCGTACGATTGCGAATACTCGTGGTGTGTAAATTGTGCAATGTGACTTGGTTGCATTTGAACTAAACACGTAAATGGTGCAAAAGTCGGATAGATTCACGGACTGTGAGGACCAAATTAGCACCTAATTCAGTTCGATGTAAAAAACAGACTGCAAGCGTACTACCTGTTAACAATTGCCCAATCTCGGGAGTCCTCGTTTATTACATGCATACCAGCAGTGGGGGCTTTTGAAGCAGCCGAGTGGGATCTTTTGAGCTTTTGTGCAAGCTCTCTAATTATTTGCCTTCGGTTGCTACAGCAATGAACCTGTCTTAATAGTCCAGTCTAAAGTTTCTGCCTATTATTGTTAGCTCATCTGACGTAGTCAGATGCAGCTTGTAGAATCGCATGATCGTGCGTCCGTTCGTGCGTGCGTGCGTGCGTCCGTCCGTGCGTCAACAGTTGGGCACAAATCTTAACCGCTTGACGTACGGTCACGATATTCGGGACGTGGGGGGGTAATCCGAAAACGAGTTGGGATGTTGAAGCTGGGGGTCAAAGGTCAAGAGGTGTAAAAGAAGGGGGAACATTCCCTCTTTAACTTGAGGTATAGGGAGGAAATGCAGAATTGCGGCACAAATCTAAACAGCTCGACCTAGGCTTGTGATAGTCGGTGCATAGCATCATGGTAGGAAAAGCCATCACTGCCGAAATTGGAGGTCACAGGTGAAAGGTCAATGGGGCACAGGGCAGATTTTAGACATTTTCTGAGGACATGGTCTGACGGAGCGATTGGAAAACTTTTTTGTTTCAGCGGTGACCTAGCATTTTTATGGCTTTATTAAAAGGATCATGAAATGTACTTTCTGCTGACATGTGAAGAGTAAGTGTTGGATAACCTTTTGACCCTCAAGAGGAGGGTTAAACATGGATTTCTTTACTGTTAGAAAGAATTTGACTGCTGGGTTTGCTAGTAGAATCTATACATGCCTGGATGTATGAGGCTACAATGTCACAGTGAAATTTCAAAAGCTAAATTTGGTTGAAGAAGGTTTATGCTCCTTAAATCGTATAATTTGTATGGCATTCTGTACTGTCAGTGTGTTACATGTAACTTATGCCACTGCCAGTGCATGTGGTGTTGATAGTACTGTGTAGTTTTTGCCTGCGTTAAGTAGTTACAGGTGGCAGCCCTCTATTTTAGCCTGTAGGCTTGCATAGGTAAATGGATGAGTGCTTACCTATTCTGTCTTGCAAATAGTTGTTGCTACTACGTACGATGGGAGCTTCCATCTTTAATCTTAAGACACTTAAACGTACGCGCCATCTCGTGGCAACTTTCATAACGATCCCAACGAACATTCCTTTGAGAAGGTTCCTGATACCATCCCTGTGCCTTCTACTGTTTCGGCGCATATGTGAACACATTTGGGACTAACAGGGTTTACTAGAATCTCACCACTCCACCACAGAGTCACCGCAGTAGACGTTAGATGAGCGCTGTCGCTCCG